ACTATTCACAAAGCTTAGAGTACAACTCATTAATTTGGGTTGACTAGTCAATTTCTAGTCTCCGACTATTGAATTTTCAGGAATTTAAAGAATAAATTACCAAATAGATTATGATTAATTACTCAATTAATCCCTAAAGAGGATTTGGATTTACGGGGTGTCACATAGGGCACTTGTTTCAGCCCATACAAAGAGCATTGTAGATGGCAGACGTGACCGGGATGCCTTGGATCTTCATAACCTAGGGGTTGGTGCATAAAAAACCGTTTCGGCCAAATGCCCATTTAGGAAGGCATTGTGTACGTCTAGCTGGCGCATAGTCCAGCCTTGTGAGACCACGAAAGAAAACAACATGCATACCGTAGTCGGTTTGACTACATGACTAAATGTGTCGAAGAAGTGTTCACCTGCAACCTGGTTAAACCCTTCTGCAACCAGACGCGCCTTATAGCGCTCCACAGACCCGTCCGCTTTGCGCTTGGTACGGTAGACCCATTTGCACCCAATTATATTCATGCCCGGATCGGCCGACACTAGCCGCCACGTGTCATTGTGTAACAAAGCGTTGAACTCCTGGTCCATGGCAATGTAGAACATTCGACAAATATAAAGATTTTGACATAGATCTACGGGATAGATGCAAAACCAATACGGGAAATACCCAAACTTGTACCATTTCCAACACGTAGCACATCACCGCCGGTGTATTCTTCTGATTGAGTCAACATAGCCGCATCAGGAGTTGCATGCGATGAGGCCCCGGTGTCCGGATACCACGCCTCTGTCTCCGTTGCCGCTCCTCCATCGCCAGCGACAGCCACATGCGCCTGAGCCGGAGGCTGCCCGGAGTAACGCTTGAAGTAGTATAACGCCGTGTAGCCATGTGAGCGGCATTATTTAGTAGCGAAGACCACCACTGCGACCGCGACCTTGCCCACCACGGCCACGTTGACCTCTGCGACCTCCTGGCCGATTTCCAGAATGCCCATCTCCGTTCTGCCTTCGCCCACGATCAGCCACCATCGCCGAGAGAGAGCCACCGGGGAACCCCGTCCCCGTCGCCGGAAAATCATCCATGAAAATAAATTGATGTGCCTGTAGATAATCGGAAAGCTACGGAATAGACACTGGGTTACCTGAGACAGCGATTGAAGCGGCAATGGCACGAAATTTCGGCCGGAGTCCCCGGAACACGTACTAATTTAGATCGTCGAGGGACATGGGGCATCCAGCTAGAGAAAGATCCTCGACCAGAAGTTGTGCTCGACCAAGATATTCCACCGGTGTACTGTCTCCTTGGCGAAGCGCCTGGAATTGGCCGATGAGGTTGAGACAACGGGCACGGATGGAGGAGCCCAAGGCAGAGGCAATGGAGAGCCAGACTTCGCGAGAGGTGCTCCGGCCAATGACCATGTACATCACCTCGTCGGAGAGGGATGAATTCAGCAACTAGAGGATCGATTGGTCTTGTTGGACCCAAACCGCGTACACTGGATGTAACACCCCAGATTTTCAAGACATTTAAAACTTATAATAAAGGTAGAATCTTATTAAATCCCAAGATATAAATACAAGCGTTTGGGGTGCTATGCCACACCTGGGCTAGAGAACCCAAGTGCACAGGCTAACTAACTAATATCCTTAAAGCGTAAATACGTAAACGTGGCACGCAGGCGAAAAGGGAAACTATCTACTTCTAAGTTCTAGCGCACTCCAGTGACTTAATCTTCTGTGCCTGAAAGCCAAATATATCTGTTCAGCGAGAGATGCTGGTAACCCACTCCAACGCGTTGAAATACAATACATATAGAGATATATATAGATATACGAAAACCATTTTGAGCATGAAGATATATCCTACGAACTCTAGCTTTAAAACCGGGAATGACTCGACAGATAAGGCCAGACACAAGCAATGGTCATAACGAGCATATGCAGTTCACAACAGATAAGGCAGATAAGGCAAAGCATAAACAATGATCATAACCCAACATGAACAATCCCCAATATAAATCCCATAGTCACATCCCCCAAGACACTCGTAATCACAACTCGTCCATGTCACAACACATAACACACTTTGTTGGCGCCACAGGACCAATCGCATGCCCATACATGAGGGTCAGCGCATATAGCTCTGACACGGCCCCGCAGCACCCTGCCCCGTATCGCAACACGGAGGGGTCGATCGCAACCGACCGATGAACCGCAGCTCATCATAGTGTTTGATCGCAACCAAACAGTGGACCGCAGCCCAAGAGAATGTCATCTGACCGCAGCCAGGAAAAAGGACGAACCGCAGCTCGTATAGAAACGTTTGATCGCAACCAAACGGTGGACCGCAGCCCAAGAGTATCAATCTGACCGCAGCCAGCTTCTGAACCGCAGCTCAGGATAACCAATCCGATCGCAACCGAATTGGGGTAACACACACACATAACACATAGCAAGCACATGCAACCCACATTACACATTGGGAAGGGGGAGAAAGCGTAAAACAAAACCTATGCGTGATCCATCACTTACTAAGAATAGTCCTAAGGGGTTCATACTTCTTCCACCTAGGTCAACGGGATACCAATTCAACTAGCATGCAATATAATAGACTCATAAACCTACGAACGGTACCCGAAACATCAAACTAGACATAGGCACGATAAACGGAGTCCGTTGGGACACCACGGGGAACGGGGGAACATCAAACGGGGACGCCGGGATCCCGGGTGGGATGAATTTCCAGCGGGTAGCCGGTGGGTGGGGGCCACCCGCCGGCTGCCCGCCGGATAATACTGTTCCGGGCAGCGGGTCGCCGGCGGGCAGCTGCCCGCCCGCCGGCCACCCGCTGCCGGGCGGTGTTTCACGGCCGTGGGTAGGTGGCGGGTCCCCTACCCCCCACTGACTCTTTTCACACACTTTACGCCCCGGGAACCGCTGTGGAACCCGAAACCATGCTTAGACACTTTACAACGCAATTAATGACAATACGTAGACAATTAACGAATCAAATACAAGAAACGAACGGCACATAACCTATCATGCCTTTCTAAATATAATCAACACCCAAACATGCGATTTCCCCACCCGATAATCCAAGAATAAGATCATACGATACAACCTAGGGTTCTAATCACTTTTATATCAACAAGAATACGGTTCGTCTTCTAATTGCGAGATTCGGTAAGAATAACACATAAACATCAAGAGCATCACCTAATTATCAAGAACAACACATAATCATCAAGAACTCCATATAATTACCAAGAACACCATAATTATCAAGAATCTCCCAATATCAAGATTATCAAGATCCCTCATGGGATCATCACATCAAACATCAATAATAATCATCATATCTCGCCAATACACAATAATATGGGGGAAACCCTAAGGGGGAATCATAGCTATGAAAATAGGTTTTGTTGAGACATGGGTTACCTCTTAGCCTTAATTAATTCCTTGGCTATGAAGGATCTTTCTTTAAGCTTTCTTGATTTCTTGATTTCTCCTAAGGGGGTTCTTGGAACTCTTTGGGTGGTGAGAGATTATTGTGGTGGGGATTCTAGGTGCCTCCTAAGTTCCCTATTTATATATTTAAGACTCCTAGTTAGGGCCTGAATGATATGGGTTTACTAATTCTATTCCTTATAGGGCTAGGGCTTGTTCTAGGGATAAGGGTCCATGGTCCATAGTGGACCATATTAATTAAAGAGGATCCTAATCATAATCTGAATAGTAAAAGGCCTACTTCCTTTATTCCTAACAGGCTTAAGATTCTTATTCGGGCAAGGGTCCACGGTTCATGGTGGACCTTACTAATTAATTAAAGGTAAACCTAACATAATTAAATCATATTTAATTATTATTAACGGGATTAATTAAATAATTAATCCGGGATTGAAGGCCGTAACACGGGGTGTTACACTGGATTCACCGTGGTGGTAGCAGCACCGAACTCGACAACTGCCGAGGTGCCAGCGGCGGGTGCGGATGACTCGACAACCATTGGCGAACAGGGATGATCGCCTTCTACGTACCCCAGGAGGCCCTGACCTCGAAGAAACGAGATTAACTTGGTGCACCAGAACAAATAGTTTCGCATGGTGAGTTTGATGGATACAAAATGATGGGCGGATGAAAGGGAATTGGGGATGGCCAGCGCCGGAACGACGGTGACGCTGACGGTTCTTTCGGAGGAATTAGTCGACATGGGTGATGGGTAGAGAGAGGATCGGGATACATATCGCTAACTGATACCAGATGAGATTAATTGTATATTCAAACTGTAAATGGATAATACACAAATACTAAATACAACACAATTAGCGTAACTAAACCTGTATAATAGGACATCTAGCTAGAGTCTAGTTTGACTACAACAACCAATATATTAATAACTCTCACAATTATAAAACATTTAGCGACACTTAATTATGAAAAAAAAAATTATTTAGCGAGACATAAATAACTGCCTCTAATATTTTAAAAAATAAATAAAGACAAATATTTAGCGACACTAAATAATTCCCACTAGAATTTTTAAAAATAAATAAAAAATATTTACGACACCTAATAACCGCTGCTAATATTTAAAGTAAAAATAAATAAAAAATTTAGAGGCGGTTATATAAGTGTCGCTAAACTCTACACAAAAATAACTAATTATTCGCGGCGGTTACACCACCGTCGCTAAATGAATTAAAAACCGACACGAAATAAGTTTTCCATTGATTCCCATATTTATTGAAAACTGCCTTTAAATCCTTTGCGACACACTATTTAGCCACAATTGGAGAACCACCTCTATGAATTAAAACAGTGTTTATATGAGTCTGAATTCTCGCTGGAATTGAAGAACATATAGTTCACCAGGTTTTTGACCTTAGGATTTAGCTTAAGTGTTAAATTTAAACTATACTGTGCATAATATTTTAAATAAAATAACCACCAACAAGGGTTCATAGCTCAGTGGTAGAGTATTTAACTGTAGATCAAGATGTCACTAGTTTGAACCTGGTTGAGCCTGATATTCCAATTATAAGTTCATGATTAACCGCATGCCTAGTTTGTATTAACTAATTAGTTTTTGTCCACATCTAGAGCAGATAATGCGTTTGTTGGTTGAATGAGTATGAAGTAGGAATGCCGCGATCAGGCTTTCAATCTAGCGAGCATTGTTATATTAAACATGAATGATCTTGTTATGGATTATTTATGGTATAAACAGAGTTATATCTGTGAGATGATCCCCAACTAGCAACTGTTAACATTGTTAGATGTTATTTCTCATATTCTTATTCGCCAATTTCCTTGTACTGAAGCTGTGCAATAGAGGCTTCAAGAGTGATCACAATTTGTCTACGGTTAACAAGGGTTTGAGGCTCCTTTGGGATAGCCCGAGATCCTGGAACTAGAGCCGAGACTGTGTCAGTAGATGAAGCTGGAGCAGACACCGGAGGCGTTGCAGTAGCAAAATCAGGTATGACAGTAAGAGTAGCACGATCATCATAGTGATCCCTATGAGTCAAATGGTCATCAAATTGGTAGACATTGTCATGAGCTGTCACGGCCTCATCCTTGTACGGCTTGAACCCATGATTTTGAAGTACACCAAATATCAAACTGGGAAAAGGGAAATGTATTTTGGCCTCCCTCTTTTTCACAAAATCCATGAGATGCAAAAAGATAATTTCACCAAGATGAAAAGGATGTCGGTTCCGGATCGTGTATAACAAACCAGCCAACTGATCAGATACAAGGTGATGACGAACCGCCGGAAGCCAATTAGCCGAGGCAAGCCGTAGAAGAACTGAATAGACTGTAGTAAGTTTTAAACTCTTGAGTTTGGTACTAGGCCAAGAAATCTCCTTGTTGTGAGTCAATGCCGCAGCCAGTAAAGGAGGACTTGGGTCTGGAATGGCTTGGTGATTTGGAGTGCCCAAGTATGCATTAATGTCAGCCGGGCCAAAAGGATACCATTTTCCCGGATAAAAACTTGTTGAAAATGAGCCGAACCTTCAGCAAATGTATCCATGTTGAGGTTGGTGTATAATTCAGTAGTCAACCAAGCAGAATAAGGGCCAATATTCTGAAGAGAGGCAAGTAGATATTGGTCACGCAGAATAGGAATTATGTTGCACTTTTCTGCCAACTCTTCCATATTAATGGATTTTTCCAATATAAAACCCGATTAGCATGTACCCGCCATTCTGACATCAAAGATGGAGATAATAAAATAGGTCGATAGGATTTTTTGGATGTTTTTGACTTGGAACCGGATGGGGCAGAGATAGTAGCAGAATCAACACATGTCCCGGACCGTGTCACCCGAGGGGGAAGTGTGGAGCCCCTTCTTTGTTGCTTAGATGCGGACACAATTTCCACGTCATCTAAAAGATCCAGTTTTCGTTTTTCAACCGTACCTGAACAAAAAATTTTCCTTTCCCTTTTCGGGAAGATTTTTCCAAGGGCACTGTGATTATAGGGCAGATTCATGGGTAGATGACATAGGTATAGGAGCAAGCTCCGGCTTGGATGAAAGGATAGGAACGGTTATAGGAATGGTGAAGGCAGAGCAGGTCACGGGTGTCACAGAGGAAGACACATACTGCGCAACATTACGAATAGAAAAAGATGAAGGCATAGAGTGCACAAAATCAGACAATGCTACTAAATTTTCAGAGGCAACATGATAAACGATATTGCTAGGCAAATTATGAGTAGAAGGATCATAAGGATCCCCTGGCACAGGCAACAATTGGGCACAGAAGGAACCACTAGGCAGTATAGAAGCAAATTGTTCAGGCAGAGATATACTAAAATTTAATTTCCTAGATGCAGATAGTGAGAGATTATCCTCTAGAGGAGAAGGAGATATAGGATTACAGGGATACCAAATTTGTGGGTGACGAAACATGCACGGTCTCGGGCAGTGGCGAAGGAGGTGCGGCTGCTTCGACCGGAATAGGCCACGGCTCATCGGATATGTGTCGGGCAAAGGCCAGAAGCTGTCGTTTCTCCCTATCCGTGAGGCCTTCAAGAAGAGTCAGATTGTGCTTGATGGTGGCAAGAACTCTATTCGTAGCTTCTGATGAGAGAGGGGAATCAACATCAATTATTTTCCTGAAGAGACCAAGTCTTGCACTCGAGGATGTGTAGGTGATGAACTGATTTTCCATGGTTGAAGCGTGGTGAAGTTTGACAATGGTGGAAGAGTGAAAGGTTGAAGATGAGAGAGTGAGGTGGTTTCGGCGTAGAGTAGAGGCAAGAGGAGATAAATCAATTAGTTTTTGATGTGGTGGTTTCTCAAAAGGCGTGGGATGTGATGGATGATGAGACAAGCTTTTAAATCTAAGATGAAGAGTTAGAATATGAGAGATTTGAGTGGAGTTTGTTTGGAATTAAAATCTGAAGGTAAGATTTGAGTAGAATTAGTGTTTAAAAGGGATTAAACATTTAAGGTAAGGTTTGGATGGAATAGAATTATAAAGGTAAGATGGGTTTTTGAAAAACCACACGACCGGAATGACACGCACGAGATTCTGCAGAAAAAAAAATAACACGGTTATGACAATAAAGAATTAAATTTATTTGTGATACCTGGTCTGGTCGAAAAACCCTGTAAGACTGAGATTAGTGTCATTTGAATACCAAATAACATAATTAAGTGTACCTTTAACTTATTTTAAAATACGCTTTACCGCCTTCAAGTGTGATTCTTTTGGGTCTACTAGCAGTTAAGTATAGTAGACTGCCTATCATGCTCCTGTACAAGGTAGAGTCTACAGAGACTCCTTTTTCATCTTTGAATAGTTTGGTTGTCGTTGAGATAGGCGTTCTGGCATCTTTGGCTGATTCAAGACCAAATTGCGCTAGGAGATTTTTCGCGTATTTTTCTTGTGTTATAAAGATCTCTTCTTTTGGCTGATTTACTTGCAACCCAAGAAAATAGGCTAGTTCACCGATCATGCTCAATTCAAACTCTTGTTGCATGACTTTGACCAGTTGATCCGTTTCACCTGTCTGTGTGGATCCAAAGACAATGTCATCAACATAAACCTGGGCAATAGTAATGTGTTTACCTGACTGTTTAATGAACAGAGTTTTGTCCGATCCTCCTCGTTTGTAATCGTTTTGAAGAAGGTATTGAGCAAGTCTTTCATACCAGGCTCTCGGGGCTTGTTTAAGTCCATACAGGGCCTTTTGTAGCTTGTATACATAATCTGGATGATGTGGGTCTTCAAACCCTTTTGGTTGAGCCACATATATATCTTCCGTGAGATAGCCGTTTAAAAAGATTGTTTTAACGTCTATCTGAAAAAGTTTAATTTTTAAAGCACATGCAATAGCAAGCAGTAGCCGAATTGATTCTAGATGAGCGACAGGAGCAAAAGTTTCGTCGTAGTCGATTCCCTCGATCTGGGAATAACCTTGAGCTACAAGGCGGGCTTTACTTCGAGCGATGCTGCCAGCTGCGTCAGTTTTGTTGCGAAAAATCCACTTGGTACCTATAACATTTACATTATTAGGTTTAAGCGTTAGAGTCCATACCTTATTTCTTTCGAATTGCCCCAGTTCTTCTTGCATGGCCTTAATCCAGTTTTCATCTGTCAGGACTTCTTTGATATTCTTTGGTTCGATTTGTGAAGTATAACAGGCGTAACCGGCCAGTTAAAGATAATCGCGTTTTGGTTTCCCTCTAGTTTTCACGCCTGAACTGGGATCTCCATTGACATTTTGTATTGGATGATCTTTCTGGTTACGAGTTGGGATGTCAATGCCATCTTGATCAGTATCAGATTATGATTCTGGTTCTAGGTCAGGTTGAGTTGGTGTGGGTGACGGCATACGGGACTCTAGATCTGGTTCAGAAGTTTCAGGATCAGGAGTTTTAGGCCGGTTTGTATCAGGTTCTGTCACGGACTCAGGTTGTGAGACTTCAACAATCTCACTCGATTGATCATCAATTACAACATTAGTGGACTCCATGATGGTTTTGGTCACTTTGTTGTATACACGGTATGCCCTGCTGTTTGTTGAATAACCGAGGAAGATCCCCTCGTCGCTTTTTGGTTCAAATTTTGCAACAGGATTTCTATCCTTCAAAATAAAACATCGTGAGCCAAAAATGTGAAAGTATTTAATGTTCAGCTTCTTACCTTTCCATAATTCATATGATGTTTGATTTGTGCCCGGTCGAAGATAGACTCGGTTGATGATATGACATGCAGTGTTTACGGCCTCTGCCCAGAATTTCTGCGGTAATCCTTTAGCGTTTAGCAGTACCCTTCCCATTTCTTAAATGGTGCGGTTTTTTCGTTCAACGACTCCGTTTTGTTGAGGTGTCTTTGGAGCAGAATACTCATGGGTAATTCCTAATTGATTGCAAAAGTCATCGAACAACTTGTTATCGAATTCTCGGCCGTGGTCACTTCAAATTCGAATAATGGGTTCGTTTCTTTCTTTTTGGAGTTTTAGTCCCAGTGTTTTGAACGCTTCAAGTGCTTTGGACTTTTCCCTGAGAAAGATTACCCACGAAAAACGAGAAAAGTCATCAACACATACCAGTATGTATTTCTTACCTCCAAAAATCTCTGTTTGAGTTGGACCAATGAGATCCATGTGGATCAGTTCTAGGCAGTGACTCGTGTTTATGGTATGTTGAGCTGGATGAGATGATTTGGTCTGTTTCCCAGCTTGGCAGGCACCACAAATGGTTGATTCGACTTTCATCTTGGGTAAACCACGAACACCTTCTATCTTCACTAGTTTATCAAGTAGTCTATAACTAAGATGCCCCAGTTTTTGGTGTCATAGCTCAACTTCATCTATGCTGGTCCTGCAACAGGAGATATTGTTAGTTAGAATATAGCAATTATCAGTTGACCTTTTACCTTCCATAACGCATTGATTTGTTTTGTCCAGGACACTACAGTTATTTTTGGTGAAGCACACGTTCCAGTTTTGGTCACATAGCTGACTTATACTTATGAGATTTGCGTGAAGTCCACTGACTAGCAATACTTTTTCTAGCTTTGGCAGGCCAACTATATTTAGCGTTCCTATGCCAGTGACCTGACCTTTAATACCGTCTCCAAAGGTAACTTCACCTTTGCTTGCATTTTCGTTACTTAGAAATTTGGCATTTCATGTCATGTGACGGGAACATCCGCTGTCAAAGTATCATTTCTCTTCTCTTCCTGCACTTTTAGAGTAAAAAGAGACAAAAGAGATATAGTCAGTCTTTTTAACCCAAATCTATTTTGTAAAGGGTTGGATGTTCTTGTGCCTGAACTTCTCGATTCTCTGATCCTTGTAGAAGTAGTAGCATTCGGGCCTAGTATGACCGCGCAACCTGCAATAATGACACACATGGTTATAGGGTTTATAAAATTGCTTGTTTGATTGCTCTATACCATTGTTTTGTCTAGCTGAGCTGGATTCAGGGACGTCCACTGGATCAGGTCCTGATGCTTTGACAAACACCGTTTTGTCCTTTGATGTACCCCCAGTGAAACCCAGACCAAATTTTGTAGAGGATTTTCTTCATGAATCAAGTATTTGGTCAAGTGTTGAAGTTGTGTCCATCATTTGGATTTGCCTTTTATAGGTGCTTAGCTCCTGCTTCAGTGTCTGTACCTCCTGTTTCAGTCTCTCTTCTCCATCAGCTGCCTCTTTAAGGAGGAAATCTCTGTCAGCTACTTGATTTTGATACACTTTAATAGCATTGGTTACAATTCCTATCTCACTAGTCAATTTATGATTTGCTTTTCGTAGGGCTTCCCATTTAGGGTACAACTTATTAAACTCAACTTCAAAATTTTAGAGAACTGTTTAGTCAAAAATACAACAGTATCATCACCTGGTTTGTCTGAATCATATACAACATTATTTTCTTCAGCAGCAAAAGCTACATTTTTTTATTTTTTCGTGTGATCAGTTAAAATATTCATTTCATAGGTTCTAAGATTTCCCATTAACTGAGTAACAGTTTTGTTTTCCCAGCCGTCGTGTTTCTGAATGACCGTGACTTTCATTTTGAACCTTGGTAGTAACGACCTCAGAATTTTTTTAACAAGTTTTTCTTGGGGAAAAGGTTCATCGAGAACCATCGCACGATTTGCTAGTTCTTGAACGCGTGTGAGGAAATTTGTGATGGTTTCATCCTCACTCATCCGGAGTTCTTCAAAATCGAACTGTACCAGTTGCAACTTCGATTGTTTTACAGACGTTGTGCCTTCGTAAGTAGACTCAAGGGCTTCCCACGCGCCTTTAGCTGAATCATAACCTGCAACTATGGGAAATTGACTTTCATGGATAAGAGAATAAATAGTATCTAAAGCCTTATCATTGTTTCCAGCATTCGTTATTTCAGTTTGGGACCATTCGATTTCAGGTTTAGTTACTCGCGTTCCATCATCACTGGTACTGGCTTTAGTCGGATGAGTCCAACCTGTCACCACAGACCGCCATACTGCATTACCTTGAGCTTTAAGATGTGTACGTGTGCGAGCTTTCCAATAAGCGTAGGTTTCGCCGACTAGCTGGGAAAGAACCTTAACGCGATCCATTCGATAACACTCAACAACCCGTGAGATTGAACAAATTAACAGAATACGGAAAAATAAAAAAAAAGCCGCTGAAAGCTTGAGTTCAAGAGGCACGGAATAGCTAGATCGACAGACTAATAAATTATGTCTGTAGGCTCTGATACCAAGTGAAATTACACCGTGAATCTTGAATGTAAGATATAACTTAGAATTCTACTTGATTTTATGTTATGCGACAATCCTTTTCATTAATTAGATTATTTAATCAAATGTAAATAACAGAAATTGAAAGCATAAAATAACGTAAGAACACAAGAGAATTGTTACGCAGTTCAGAGCGCATCTCCTACGTCTGCGGGGCAACCCACGTCTGTCCAATCCACTATAGATGTTCACCAAGGAGTTATACAAAGGTAAGTACAAATGACTATCAGCCTTAACTACCCCAACCCATCCTAACACCTACTCAGGACTGAACCATGCATGCCATAACAATCTTCAAGCGAAGCTTCAGCTGTTCTAGGTACTGACTGTGCAGCTCAGATAAAACACCCTTAAGAGATAATAATTTAATGAAAGGAGATTAATATAATCACTTAGTAAAGAATTCCTTTTCTCTCAATATAGCAGTTTTCAAATCGGCAACTTTCCTCATTGGTGTGGCTTCCTTTTATAGTAATAGGTAACCCATCACTTGATCCATATTATTAACATCACAAAGTCTTCAATCAACCATAGCCACACAATGTTGTCTTGAACCCTTCATACTTCACGCAAAAGCAGACTTCCAATCTCCACCATTTAATATTAGCCTTTTAATTAATATTAGATAATAAGTAACGGTCCAAAGAGTTTTAATCTAACTAATAATTTAATTAAATTAAAACTAAATAAATTAGTCAACAAAGGTTTTTAACGTGTACTAAATTTGTACACTTACATTCCCCTATCTTTTTTGTGTTGCTTTACCCACATACACTTGGGGTGGCTGTTCATGATGACTGTAAGCTGAAGTTAAGCTGGTGATTGTCGAAAAACTTGGTGAGGCAGGACAAAGCTATGAGGACTTCACTGCCAGTCTACGACTTTGATTTTGTAACTGAGGAAACTTGCCGGAAGAGCTGAATTTTCTTCATTGATTGGTAATATATAAATTCTTTAGGGTCCACATTGCTTAAATTTTTATCATACTATCTCGTTGTCAATTCTTGAAGCCGAGCAGGTTGCATTTGAATTGCTGTGCACTGAAATGGAGAGCTCGCCATAATGTTTGCTTTGGTTATGTCTAATGTTTATATTATGCTGGGAAGTAGAATTGGTTAGATATGTTGTTGGCCTTTTAAAGCTTCATCTCCAATGAGAAACTTAAATGATTTTTAAGCATACAGTAATTGCTATTCATGGGGTCTTGAGATTTCTTCTTACGAGATTGTGTGCATCAACTCTGAGATTTATGTTTTCCAGTGTCTTTTTTTGGGTACATCTAGGTCATAACTTATTTTACCATTGAAGGTCATGCTCAATGTTCTAGGTTTTGAAATTTGTGAGGGGTGCAAACCTATGATTGTAGTTTTACACTCGGTTTCAAAATTTGTGGGGGTGGAAATTAAATTTATGATTGTAGTTTGATACTGAACTTATTTATGATATGAAAAAATAATGTGAAGCGTGCATGTTATTTAGTAATCATAAATATGTACATTGTTACTATGCTAGGAATGTCATGCTGTGTGAAAAAAAAATAAAATAAAAAAATATGTACATTCTTAAACTTGAGGTAAAACACGACTGAAAATTATGGAATTTCTGACCATCTAAAAATGATCTTAAATCAGGTCGAAAGTCTTGTTCCGACTACTTTTGGTATCCGGAAAAATCTTTGTTGCTATTTCCGACCACTTTTTACTTTCGACTTGATATAAGATCACTTTCAGGTGGTCGGAAATTCCATAATTTCCAGCCGTGAACTGCAACCTATGAGAGTAACTAATAAATATCATAAATGTCTATTGTCTTGTGTTTTTATTTTTATTTTTGTATGATTTACCTTTTATGTATACGAGTGAGATTTATCCTGCATACTTTCAAGTAGTTCTATGATTTATGGTTCCTTAATCAGAAAAAAATAATCACAAATGCATAAGAAATTGGTAAATTTTGAAAAATGTTCCAAAATTAAATTTAGAAAAGAGTGGAATTATGAAAAAAAAAAGAAAAAATAAAAAAAAAAGAGGCAACAACTTCGTATTTTGTCAACTCCCTTGCCAAACAGAAGTTGGCGGTAAAATTGACACTTTTTTTGTTTTTAATACTAACGATTAGAAATTTGTTTAACGAAAGCTATCCAAGAATGATGAGGAGAATCAGAAATGGATTCCGACAAGCAAGTAATTCACCACTATACACTGCTCAAGAATTTAAAATCTAATTGTTAAAACAATGATTTTCTTCAAATACTAAGAGCAATCCCAATAGAAGGATCTTCAATGGTTTTTGTAGTGTTAAAAACTGATGGAAAGGTTTTTCACAAATGAGAAGATTGGATTTTGAATATGAGGTAGATTCTCCTGAAATGCACTGATTTTTGCAGTTAAAAAAAAATTGAACAGCGAGACGCGCAATTGCGTCTTATTGTCCAACCCACACGCGCCCGCTGGAGCGTTTCAGAGTTGGCAGCCACTCTAAAATGAATGGCCATTTGGCCATTGCCAATGCAACGCCCAAATCAAAAAAATAAAATAAAATAAAATAATTATTATAATTTTTATTTCCTATAAATATTATCTCTTCAACAATTTTAAACACTTCATCATACTCTCAATTCATTCTTATACTACCCTCAATTCATTCATATCACTCTTTCAATTTATGCATCTCAAACCAATTTATTTTGCAGCCCCCAATGGAAAGAGGCAATTCAAGTAATCAAAATTTCCAACTCAATTTTTCTTCTTTCCAAACCCAAGAATACATTTATGTTGAGCTTGATGGAGTACAATAGATTATTTACCTGACTCTTGGTGTTTTTCATATTCCCCCTTTTATTATTCTGCATGTTGCTGCCGCTTCCTCCATCACAGAAAAGTAGCGTCACCACTACATTAATCATAAATGCATATAATTAATTTCTTTCCTAATTCTTATAGGACCTTCTCTAATTTGTCACGAAATCTGTTCTGGATTACTTTCCTTATCTAGTGATTCCCTTCCTAAAGTGTGGGAGGAACTAAGCCTTTATAGGCAACAGATCCATCGTCTCTCATTGCCTATGCTCCTTGGCTATCCCCCTGCAGCCAACTCTTCTCTCAACACTCCACCTGACTCGACTTCCCGACATTTCGCTGACTCGACCATGTACAAATGCAACAGTAATAGAAATAGTACTTTACACAACTTTGTCAAATTTTTGAGAATTACACAAAGCTGTCTCCCTCTTTAATTTTCTCATTTAGACATTAAAGTCAAGCTTCCTTTTAAACTTGAATAAAAAAAGACAAACTTTAACCATCCATATAACACAATGATATGAGTATCTAGAGGATGTAGTGTACATATCAACTATCCTTTTGCCATCTAGTATTTAGAAATTAGAAGCCACCACACTCGAACTTGACAATTCATATGTGGTAGATCCTTCATGTGCTGATTTGACTTCTGCATGCTGCCTTTAATAAGGCTAAATTTCTCCTATAATTGGACTACAGAAACAACGTTGTGCCCTCACGAATGTTGACTTTCGCAGCATACTATAATGTTTTATATTTGCATTGCAGAGTATTTTATCCAAACTGAACAAGTACTATAGTATTTTATCACCTTAGCTGAAACAAAAGTCAAATAATATGTTTTATTAGTATTCGTAAAGGCAAAATATTCTCAGAGATGTGCATGGTTGTTATTAGGGATGTCAAATGGGCCAGTCCTTTGAGTTTTGGACTAGCTCTACAGGGTTGATGGACTTATTGGCTTGGGCTAAATGAATTTTTATTTTTTTTTATTTTTGAGTTGAGTTGGCCCCAACCCTAAACAACAGATTGTTAGGCTAATCCAACGGGCTAAATTACTAAACAAAATTATTATTACAAAAAAAAGTAGGTTCATAAATATATATATATATATATATATATATATATATATATATATAGGGAAAATGACACTTTTTTCCCCTAAATTATATATTTATAGCACTTCTTCCCCCTCAATTATTTATGTAAGCACATTAGTCCCCTCAATTATTTTAAAAGTAGTGGTTTTTCCCCCAAATATATTAAATTGACATTTCTACCCTTAAAGCAAACATTTTATTTATTTCACTTCTCCAACAAATTATTGCGTATATGTAGCGATTACCACGGTTCGGTTCGAACTGAACAAGACACTATAACAATCGAATTAAAATTTTTCAGTTATGATTCAGATCTAGAACCCAATATTTGGATTTTAATTTATTAAATTTAAGAATTAAAAAAAAAAAAAAAAAAAAAAAAAAAAAAAAAAAAAAAAAAAAAACTGGATCATGAACCGTGAACCGGCGGTTTCGGATCCAGTTCGCGATTTTGAACCGTCTTTATTTTAAAATTTTATTTTTTATTTTAAAATAGTTAAATTCAACAATAACTGTATTTTTATATTTTTTCAGTTCGGAACATGAATCAGTCATTCCGGTTCGCGATTTTAATAAACTCTAAATATCGCGTTTTGATTATAAATTGTAATTGGAATATTTTGGTTTGGTTGCTATAGTATCTGTTTGGTTTGAACCAAATTATAGTAATAATTTGTTGGAGAATAAAAATAAATGAAATATTAATTTTAAATATTTATTTTAAGGGTAAATATGTCCATTTAACATTTTAGGGGGAAAAAGAGCCACTTAAATAATTCAGGGGGAAAAGTGCTATAAGTATATAGTTTAGGGGAAAAAAGTGCCATTTTCCCATATATATATATATATATATATATATATATATATATATATATATATATATATATATATATATATATATATATATATATATATAAACACGCACACACCATATATATATAGTGTGTGTGTACAGTGTGTATATATATATATATATGGTGTGTGTGTGTTTATATATATATATATATATATATATATATATATATATATATATATATATATAGTGTGTGTGTGTGTACAGTGGGTGTGTAGTATATATATATATATATATATATATATAGTGTGTGTGTGTGTGTACAGTGTTTGTGTAGTGTGTGTATATATATATATATATATATATATATATATATATATATATATATATATATATATATATATATATATATATATAATGTTTCTGTGTACATTGTGTGTGTATATATATATATAGTGTCTGTGTGTACAGTGTGTTTGTGTATATATATAGTGTGTGTATATATATATAGTGTGTAGTGTGTGTGTGTGTGTATATATATATATATATAGAGGCGGGTTCAGGTGCGGCAGTGTCTTGTGGTGCGGTTATTTCTTACGGTGCGGCAACACCAATAGTTCACCAAATATGCACCATCAACGTTAGGAAATACACCACACAAAACAGAGTAAACAGAGCCCTGCATCACCAAACACACACCATTAGGTGTGTTTAAAAACACCATACACTGTATTTTGTGATGTTTTATTACATTTCGTTGGGGTGTGTTTTTATTACACTGTTGGTGCATATTGTTAACACTGTTGGTGTATTCTGAAATTTGACCGCACCGCCGCACCGTAAGACCCCACCGCATATGAGCGCTCTTCTATATATATATATATATATATATATAGTGTGTGTGTGTAGTGTATATATAATGTGTGTAGTGTATAAAAGTGCATTATTTTATATATACTATCAAATAATGTACCTTCAATACACAAATAATGTACATTTAGTATATTAAAAATGTACCATATATTCATGGTCCACACAAGTTGTATGGACTATGGTCCATCCAATAATGATTGGATATTACACGGGCCAGCTCAACAATCCATGGGTTGCCCCAACTCCATCCAATAACCCAATAGGGCCAACCCAATGAGCTTAGGCAAATTATGCCTTGGACCCGTGTCCACAATTCATTGTGGACACGGGCCCAAAACGACGTCGTTTTTCAAAAAAAACGCGTCTTTTAGTTAAAAAAAAAAAAAATTCGCGCGCGTTTTGCCGTTAACAGCGTTAACGGCGTTATTTTTTTTTGGTTATGAATGTACAGTTATGCCGTTATGAATGTATAGTTATGCCGTTATGAATATACAGTTATGCAATTATGAAATTATGAACACAGAGCTCTAACATTATGAACTTACAATTATGAACATATATAGTGATAAAATTATGACCATGGAGCTTTAAAATTGTGAATATAGAGCTTCGAAGATTATGAATGTACAGTTATAGAGTTATGAATCTACAGTTATGGAGTTATGAATCTACAGTTATGAGATTATGAATCTACAGTTATGGAATTATGAATGTACAGTTATTGACCGAATTATGAACAAAGAGCTCTAACATTATGAACTTACAATTATGAACATATAGTGATAAAATTATGAACATAGAGCTCTAAAATTGTGAACATAGAGCTTCGAAAATTATGAATGTACAATTATGGAGTTATGAATGTACAGTTATGGAGTTATGAATATACAGTTATGGAGTTATGAATGTACAGTTATAGAGTTATGAACGTACCGTTATGGAGTTATGAAAGTACAGTTATTAACATATAGTAATAAAATTATGAACATATACTCCTATAATGAAGCGGTCTGAAATTAAAAAAAAAAAAAAAAAAAAAAAAAAAAAAAAAGAGATAACAGTGCCTAACGGCACTGTTACCCATGTCCAGCAAGCATGCTGGACACGGGTCCAACGCATAACGATTGATGAGCTTACTTTTTTATTGGATTGAACTTTTTGGATTTTAGCCCTGCAATTTTTAGGACTTATTGGGCTAACCCATTGGTTCAGGGCTAAATTGACATCCCTAGTTTTTATACATGTCTGCTGTTGCATTTGTACTTGGTATTTAAATTTTTTTAGGAAGAATAGAACAATGAATCTGACCCAACATTAGGAACAAATTTGGTCTGCATCTTATTATATTGGAATCAATGTTGGAACAATTATAGGTTGGTAAGTTAATCAGTTTTTAATGTAACACATACTATAAGAATAAATAAATAAATAAATCATCTGGTCGTCTTAGCAGAAGTAGAAGTAAGGCTGTTTTCAACCCAACCAATGTTGGACTTGCAAGATGATGTGGAAATTAAAAAAAAAAAATTGTTTCTTTTGTTTGAAATTCACCGTGACTAGCAAAGTTGTTACTTTTGTAAGTTTGCTAATGGCAGCAAAAGCTGCCGCACCATTATTTTTTTTATTAGTTATTTTATTATTATATTTATAATATAATATGAAAGTGAGGTCACTTTTAAAAGTGAGAGAATATTGTAGGAATGTAAAGAAAATAGTGGAGAAATTGCAAATTTGATGATGTAGAAGTGTGACCCATTTTTGAAAGTGAGAGAGTATTGCAGGAATAAGGATGGGCTAATGCAGTTTTATTTAGAAGCTTGAGCAAAGGTATTTTTCAAGAATATACATATGACACAGCAAGATAGCAACACATTGGCAATATAATTCTCATGTAGCAGTACAGTATATATTCACCCCCTCAACACTAGAATTGATTCCACTTTCATAGCTTCATCCATATGCATTACCTTATTCATTTTGCCAATGTGCAATGTCCATCTGCATTGAGAATGAGTGTGTCAAAAGGCTGCTAATACTTGCAATCACATATCAAACATGGACTAAAAGTAGTAAGAAAACTGCAGAATATGGTTGAACTCCATCTCTGTGGGTTCCAAGTATTTATAACAACTCTTCAGTGTTGATTTTACCATGTTTTAGTTATAAAAATACTTCGTAATAAAACGACCGTTACTAAAAATATTAGAAAGATGAGGTTGTTTAAGCTGGTCTAGACTGAACTATATAAGACGAGAATAGGTACCTAGGTTCCTTCAGGCAAGGTGATCAGACGTGTTTTTGAATCGTATATCATCTGCGTCTCACAACTGTGTAAGAAT